GCCTCGTAACGGCTCTGTCTTTGCTCCCAGATAAGAAGAAGTCCAAGAAGCGCCATTATGATGATGATGAAGACGACGAAGACGAAGCTCCCGGCAAGGAGTCTCAGGAGGCGGTGCCGTCCGCCGCGGGGAAGCAGGTGGAGGACAGCGGCACCAAAGTGGACGAGTACGGAGCGAAGGACTACAGACAGCAGATGCCCCTGAAGGCCGACCACTCCTCGCGTCCCCTCTGGGTGGTACGTGCGGCCGGGCGGCCCTGGGGGCTCGCTGCGCCCCGCCTCGGGGGGTCGGTGAAGGCGTACACGCCTCCTTGTAGAGCTAGGGGCTCCCGTTACCTGCGGTTTGTCATAGAGGAAAGTACGCTGCAGCCCTGGGCAGGTGACCGGGATGCTGCAAGTCTGTCCGTTATGGGTAGGGTTTGTCAGGGAAACCGACAGGGACGGGTTTGTGGGGGTTTCCCCCATCAGGAAACCGGGACTGAGCTGCAGAGCGTCCAGCAAAGGCTGCTCCGCTCTCCGGAGTCAAGTGGGGACACCAAGAAAAAAGAGGTGGGTGGGTGGGTGGAGAGAGCGTGCTCCGGGGCTTGGCCTTGGCAGCTCACTCAAAGCAAGATTTGCTCTGGTTCTGGTGGGGTGGGCAAGCGCGGTACCTGCGGCGCCTGCGTGGGCACAGTAGGGCTGTGAGCAGTGTGAGGTCCCTCCGAGATAATGCTGCCAGCCCCCGCCTGGGAGCCCCTCAGAGAGCCCAGGTTCCTTACTCCCATCACAGCAGCCTCCTTGCAGGTCCCCTCTCTGTCAGGTATCCCTTGCAGTGGGTGTGCCATAGACCAGACAAGGCAGTGGAGCACCTTAAGCCAGATGTTGCTGGGAGGAGGGTAAAATGGCTTGTGGAAGTGACTAGATTGGCTAGTGACAGAAGTGGGATCTGTTGTTGCAGTGACACAGCAAGAGGGTTTGTATGTTGGAATGAAACAGGCTTAAGACAGGTTGGTCTCATCTTCTGTAACTGGTGCTGTTTGTTTTCTCTGCCCTGAAGAGGCAGTAGGACAAGTAGGCCAGTAGGATGAGCACATAGAGAAGAGGTGTTTGCCCTGTCAGCATCTGCAGGGCATCTGTTACTGGATGCTGGGACAAGCAAGGGCTACCTTTCCTTCTACATTCATTCTGTGTAAAATGAGTGAGGAGTTTTGTTTTGTTTCAGGAGAGTAGAGCTGGAAATTTGCCTCTGCTCAAGCAATTTACTTAGCATTAAAAAAGAAAAAAATACCCCAACATGTCAGTCTGGAAAAGCTTAATCGATCTGAGTGTGATTTATTCTAGTGCCATGGAAGGGACACGGACAAGTCAATGTCTAGACCCTTTCAGAATACAAAAGTGGTATGTTTCTGTGTCTCCTTTGTTCTTTTTCTTGTAACTTCATTGTTCAGGTGAAGACATTTTTTGAATCCCTATGATGTATTACTACCTAAATAGTGGACTGTCTCTGTATCATAATGGCTGCCTTATAACAAATTCTTGATTCTGTTCAACTAACACCGTTGTGCCTTCAGCATTTATTTTTACTTCTATAGGCTCCTGATGGCCATATTTTTCTGGAAGCCTTTTCTCCAGTTTACAAATACGCACAGGATTTTTTGGTTGCCATTGCTGAGCCTGTGTGTAGACCAACCCACATTCATGAGTACAAACTGACTGCTTACTCACTGTATGCTGCTGTTAGTGTTGGCTTACAAACAAGCGACATCACAGAATATTTACAAAAGCTGAGCAAGACTGGTGTCCCAGATGGAATAATTCAGTTTATCAAGGTAAGACTATTTTATTGGTATTAGAAATATATCTACTGCTACTAGTGAAATCCTTTCCTGCTTTTACCATCTTATTCTATTTTGTCATTGTTTCAAGAGAACAGGGGCTTTATCTTATTTTTTTGTCTTTTTCTATAGTCTGTTGCTGCATGCATACTATTGTCACAATATATCCTGTGTGGGGTTTATACCTTTTAAAAAAATATATATATACCCAAGCATCTCTGTGCACACTTTCAGCCAGTAGGAATTGTACATGGGGAAAGTTTCCTCAGGTTTGCTCTGGAAGAAGACTATGAATGTGGGAAGCAGTCTGGAATTGCCAGGCACTAAAACATAGCCTACCTTATCCCGCAAGTATGTTCTTGCAGTCTTGGAAGCAGATTGGAATTGGGTATAAAAACTGAGTATCTGTGACTGATCGCCTGTGTGAGATGATGTGTGCGTCTTCCGAAAATACCTTTTCAGGTTTGTTCCATAAGCATAACAACATTGCAAGTAAATATTTTATGATACCATGCTTCCCCACAGAGAACTAAACTGCATTGCAGCATTTGGTCCCAAACATAGAATCGCTCTTTTGCATATTCCTAACGACTCCTCTTGTTCGTTTGTAGCTGTGTACTGTCAGCTATGGGAAGGTGAAGCTGGTACTGAAACATAACAGGTGAGTGGCTTCTTCCTTAACTAATGTGGCAGAGGAAGTCCTCCAAATGCACAGCTGCACGTAAATGGGAGGTCTCGGTAGCTGTTGAGTTTTACAGCTCCCAGCCGCATGTAGCATCTGTCAATACAAGATCACTTTTTCAGTTGTTGAAAGTATTTAATACATTAGTGAATGAATTCACTTTGGCTGTCCTGAGCTACTACTGGTTATCATTACGTTTTTAGAAGTGGATTGTGAATTTGGTATTCTAGTTCGTTTCTTTATTGCTTAGACTTGCAATATATGCTTAAGATTTTCAGATAATTGTTTCATATGTTCCTTCCTAATTTATGTGAGCCTGGCTAGATAAATTTTTCTACAGCTGTCCTTCAGTCTTGTGTATTCTGACTTGTCCCTTATTCAGGAAGGATAAACAAGTCCACTGGCAAGAGGTGTGTGTTTGTTGCTGAGTTGAATCTGATTTCTTTTAAACCTAGAAGATAATGTTGGAAGGGACCTTGAGAGGTCAGCCAGTTTAGAGCTGACCAATTTTATCTAAACTTGTGGTTCTACGATAGGGAGAGGGAAAAGGAGGAGATAGCAGAAACCTGAAATCTACATCAGTACCTTGCCTATGTTTTCTCTTTCTCCTTTTATTTCTTTCGCAAAGTTCTCTGTTGTCTGACAGCCATAGATAAGCCCTGGGACTGTAATCTAATGCTCTGCTCGTCCTGATGCTTTTTTGAACTTACTACTTTGGGTAGACTTTATACTTAGCATTTCTAGCACTAATGTTACTACATTATTTTGTCCTCTTCCTAGGTGTTTCTGAGAAAAAGATTTCTGCCATGCCACTTAAGTCTCTCTTGGCTCATATTACAACTGCAATCTCTAACCAGCATCATTATTGATGTATTTCCAGGGAAAGAAACAATTTCAGGATGCGCTAATTTAAATTTTTAGATGGTTTGTGTATTGGAGGTTTTGGATTTCTGTCTTTTGAGCTTTTTTAGTCCCATGGGCAGGATTTTAAACCACCACATCCAGTGTTTTCACAGACTCACCTCAGTTCAGTCTCAAAAAAATTGACTTGTGTCACATGTCTCAACTAAGACATGTATGTGAGAGCTCTCTCTAGGCAGTTCTCCTGGAGTTTTCCCACTTGTGTTATGGATAACTGCAAAGTACACAATGCTTTTGGTATGAGGCATCTTTTAACAATTTTTGATTGCCGTAATTTCTTTTATTTTTAGATTACCGCACCCAAGATTGGATACTTGAGAGTGCATCTGGGATAGCTATATATTTAAGCATCTATGCCACTCTTCCTGTAAGTTATTCAGTTGATTAATTCATAAAAATGTTTTTCTTTATTTTTTAATTTAAGGTATTTTGTGGAAAGTACCCACCCTGATGTCATTCAGCAGCTTCTGCAAGACCATGTAATTAGAGACTGTCGCCTGAGAAATGCTGAGGGTGAAGAAACAGAGCTCATTACAGAGACGTTCACAAGTAAATCAGCGGTATGTTTGACCATGTTTTAAAATTATTGAATTAACAGTAAATAAACTGTTGAGTAGTTTGGAGTCGTTGTTGTTTGTTTTATCAGCAGTTGCTTTCGGTTCTGTCAGTAATGATCTGTGCCTCCTTAATGAGCCCAAACTGGGGCGGGGTGGGGGCACGGACATGGAGTGTATCTAATGAAACCCTTGGTGAAAATTCCTGTCCATCTATTTCAGATTTCCAAATCCAGTGAAGGTGGCTTTGGTCCGTCAACATCACAGGGAACAGATGCTCAGAATAAGCCAGATGTCCCAGCTGACTTATTTGAATTTTATGAACAGATGGACAAAGATGAGGAGGAGGAGGAGGAAACACAGACAGTGTCTTTTGAAGTCAAGCAGGTATGAGTATTTTAGTCACTGCATTTGTAGCTTTGGGGAATGTGCCCAGAACTTGCAAATAAGCATGAGAACTTAATGTAAAGTACTGCGGCTCTTTGTTTGATAGGGGAGATCACTGAAAGTCGGTAACATTTCTTTCCTTTTACCTTCCAAAATCTTAGAATCTTCCTCTTTTGTACAGAGGGTGGCAGACTGGATATTGTTCCTTCCCTGCCCATAAGGCATCATATTCACAGGCCAGAGAAAGGCTTCAGAGACTCAGGAAAATTCCCATCATGTGCAGCTTGGTGTTGCTTTGTGCAAGACAAGCGAGAATTCAGTGGAGGGCAAATCTGCTGTTGGTTTCAGAGCTTTTTTTTCTTGCTTTTTTCTTTTTTTTTTTCCTTTTTTTGTTTTGTGATTCATGTTTGCAGAAGGAATTCTTGGTGGTTCTGATTTCATAGGTTGAGAAGGGTAGCTGGAGGTTGGAGCACAGTGGTGGCTTGACTTTCAGAGAGCTTTTGTAGAATTTCTTAAGCTGCTTTTGGACTCAGTGATTCTAATGATGCCTTACTGGGGAAAACAAGAAATTTTTTAAAAAGATAACTTAGTAGCTATTTTGCTTATTTTAAAAAACCAAACCAACAGCTTCTTGGTGGGTGGTTGAATTAACCTGTCATTGTGGTGGAATAACTGCATTACCAGCGTGTGGAGATTTTCCAGATAACAGATGTGCAGCTTTGGTAGATTCTTCTGTGTAACACACAGAACCTTTTGTGTCTGTTGTTGAGCTCTTTGTTGCAGGAGTTCAGGGTGTAATTTAGTCACTGCCGGATGAACAACACATCTGAGATTAATGCATCATGTTCTTCCATCTGCTTAAATAGCCCTCTGTAATGTTGACTGTTATTTAAAATGTTTCAGGGGGGCAGGGGTGATCACGAATAAAGTTTATGAAATAAACTTTAATTGTTGCAGACTTCATGAGCGTAAAAAATAAATGTAACTTCACATGCTACTATATAATCTGCTTGTTTGTGGAAAAAAAAAAATTAATTCAGATGTAGAGAATTTACCATCTGAAACTTTGTTTCCTCTTCAGGAGATGATTGAAGAACTTCAAAAGCGTTGTATCCATTTGGAGTACCCCTTGCTGGCAGAATATGATTTCAGAAATGATTCCGTGAATCCCGATATTAATATAGATCTGAAACCTACAGCTGTCCTGAGGCCCTATCAAGAGAAAAGCCTGAGGAAGATGTTTGGAAATGGGCGAGCCAGATCTGGTGTCATTGTCTTGCCATGTGGTAAATTTCTGGATTGGTATTTAGAGGCTTTGTTCTTTATCCACCTGTAGTAAACTGACTTCCAAATATGACAGCCACTTAAATTTCAAACAGTAGAAAGGACTGTTCTGGGTACCAGTACTCAGAGTCATGTTGGTTTTTAGCGAGTGGGTGGTGAGGCTGTGGTGAGGGAGAGCCCAGCTGATGGAACTGTCAGGCATCTGCTTAACTGGGCTGTTGTCCTGGGTTTGACTGAAACAGAACCAATTCTGCTTTCAGTAGATTTTCCTTCAGTTAAGTTTCTTCGAAGTAACTGCAGTTTCTGAAGTTGGCTACATGTTTTCCAGACAGTGTCTGCTTTCAGAATTGATAACGCTTGAAGTTTGTAGTTGTTACTAAGGTAACAGTAGGATTGGTATGCAGAATGGCCCATGTTTGTACGTGTGCCTGTGGGAATGAAGATCACTCTTGGCTCTCTTACGGTCCACAAGTGAGAAGGTGTAAGAGTCACACCTGTGGGCAGAAGCGGACAGGACAGGTGACCAAAAACTGACCAGCAAAGTATTCCATCCCATCGCTGTCATACTCAGTATAAAGCTAAGGGATCACAGGGGTAGGCCCTTCTTCTTTCATGGCCGGCATTGCTGTAGGACTCTGCTCTTTTTCCTGCCTCCAATCCCAGTCTGTGTATTCCTGAATCTGGTTCCCATCTGCTGCTGAGTCCAGTCTGGGACATGCCAGTGCCCGCCCTGCAGCATCAGCAGTGTGAGCCAGTGCAGCATGCAATTCCGTGATCATCATTGGGAAGCTCAATATTGGTTTTGTATATTTTTATTTTTATTAGTAGTATTAATATTATTATACTCTTTTTTTCATTGTTACTGTTTTATTAAACTTGTTTTAATTTTCCAACCCATAAGTGTCTCTCCCTTTTCTCCTTGCCTTTCCCTTCTGGGGAAGAAAAGGGTTAATAGAGAGCATCTATGTACTCCCCTTTAATTGCCAGCCCAGCCTTAAATGGTGACAGCTGTCAGTATCCCTGTAGTGACTGAGGAACTCATTTGTAGTAGCTTCAGATTACCATTCATGCTTTCACTGTTCACTCTAAGTTGGCTCTGCTGAGCTTCCCATGAAATGTAAAGCTGTTAGCATTGGAATCATTTGTTCTTTGGTTGGGAATCGGGGGGGAACTGGGAATACAAATATGGCATAAGGGGACTGCAAGGAAGAAAAGCACTTGTGTGCACAAGTTCTGGGCAGGGGTGCTTGACAAAGAAGTGAGGAATGTGCAGATTGGGACACCCTATGGGAAAAAATGGAAAAGGGAGAGAACGGGAAACTTCATGGCAGTGTCCTTGGTATTGAGGATGGAGGGGACACACAGGAGATACAGCGAGGGCCTGAGAGAGTGTGTAAGGGATGCTGGAGGAAGTGTGAAGGAGGAATGGAAAGATTTAAGGACTTGCTATGTGGGGGAATGAACATGGCTAACAGGGGCAATGGGATAGATCATCTCTAGGGGAAGCTTTCTGTAGCCACCTGGAATTTAACATGCTTTTGAAACTGAGAAATTATTAAAATGATTGCTTCTAATCAGGAAAGCCATTGTTTACAATGATTTTCTTGAGAAAATACATTTACATGTCTAGTAGACAATGCAGCCTTTTTTAAGAAGTGAATACTCCATTTCTTTAAGACTGTTACAGTAAAGAAACAACAAAGAATTTGCCCTTACATGATTTCATGTCCTCTCACAGTTATCCTGTTTTCCTTTGCTCTTTTTCTTTTTTTCCTTCCCTGCCTCCTACTCCAGTGATATTTGAGAGATGACTAATGAACATCACTCTTCTTCCTCTGCAGGTGCTGGCAAGTCTCTAGTTGGAGTGACAGCTGCATGTACTGTCCGCAAGCGGTGTCTGGTCCTTGGTAATTCTGCAGTGTCTGTGGAGCAGTGGAAAGCCCAGTTCAAGATGTGGTCCACCATTGATGACAGTCAGATATGTCGGTTCACTTCTGATGCCAAAGACAAGCCCATTGGCTGTTCTATTGCTATCAGCACATATTCCATGTTGGGACACACGACAAAAAGATCCTGGGAAGCAGAAAGAGTAATGGAGTGGCTTAAAAGTCAAGAGTGGGGCCTTATGATACTTGATGAAGTACATACTATCCCTGGTAAGGAAACTATGTGCAAACCTTTCATGTTGTGTATACACTGTTAATGTTACTCTGCTCTTTTACAAGTGGAAGGTTTTTGCTGTCTTTCTCAGGATTAATATAGGGAGTAAACCCATGGATTAGGGTTTTGAGACAAGGAAACGGTTTTGTTCTACTTTCTTCTTCCCCCCCCCGCCCCCGATACTAGGGGGTTTAGCTGACTATTAGTTTTCTGAAACCCTTCAAATTAGATGCTGTGTTTTCTGTAAGTGGCAGAGTAAAATACAAGTGCCTTCTCTTTCTGTGTAGGTTGATGAAGTGCTCTTAAGATACCTGAATTACGTTTGTGTAATTTTGCTGTAGACCAATTTGTACAGGAAAGGAATGAATCCGCCTTCTTTTGAGATATAATGGCACTGTAGGCTAGCTTTTAATGTCTATTTCTACTCAACAAAATATGCGTAACCATAGTGATTACTGTCCAGAAATAGCTGTTGTATTTGAAATTAATATGTCATTGAGATCTATACTATTGGAAAGCAATAATGTAGTATGACAATATCTGTGGAATAATTCTGGCAAAAATAGCACCCAGGATTCTGTTACCTGCTCTATCTTGTTCTCATGATTTCATTTGAATATGATTTGGTGTCTACGGAAATGATGGTTTTCAGAAGTAGACCTTGATGATTAACTGCCATTTTATCAAAGTAGCATGTTGCTGCCACCGTTCTTTCAGTTTTTTTCTTTCTTGGTTTCATAAAAATTAAGGTATAGGATCTCCTCTGTGATCTCTAGCAATACTAAAGATGCATAATTCTGCCATATACTAGAAGTCCTGAATGTGGCAGTCAGCCAAGAGTCCTTGTGTCACAGTTCTTTCTATGAAATACTATATATGTGACCTAAAACAAGCCATATAACCTCTGAATATATTAATTTTTTCTTGGGAAATAATAAAGATGCCAGAAGGTTTACTGGGATTTTGAGAGTACCCTGACGATGTAAACTAAAGCTGCAATCAGTGTGAAGTTTTACTATAACACAGATTTGTTAGAAGTATATGTGAAATGGGTAAAATTTCCCAACATTGTGCTTGTTTTGTGTTCAGGAGTTGATGAAAGTGTTCTTTTAAGTTGCAGTGTTTGTCTTCTGAATCGATTCAGGAAAGTAAACAGAAAATTTGTCTTACGTTTCTTAGCAAAAATGTTCAGACGTGTGCTCACTATTGTACAAGCTCATTGTAAACTGGGGCTGACTGCTACCCTGGTCAGAGAAGATGATAAAATTGTTGACCTGAACTTCCTGATCGGACCAAAACTCTATGAAGCCAACTGGATGGAGCTGCAGAACAGTGGCTACATTGCTAAAGTCCAGTGTGCTGAGGTGATGCTCTGCTTTTTGGTACTACTAGTGTTTATTTAGTATGCTTCTAACTTTTTTTTTTTAAGGAACGTGTAAAATTGTATTGAATTGGGAAAAACAGGTGCATTTATGACTTTCCATTTACTTTGTAGCTTAGGAAAGGCTGTCGCTGGTCAATATGAACATGTGGCAAATCCACTAGCCACATCTTCTCCAGAGTGACTTCAGCACTCTTTCTCTTTGCGGGGATTGTGGTGCTTTATCAACTGTCTCTAAGTCAGCATTCAAAAACATGAGCAGTGGTTGCGGTACTGTAGACCTAGTTCGATGCGCTTGGCATTTGCGTTGTCCGACTTGACTTCATATCTTAAACTCAGTTCTCTGTGGTAGCATAACGTCATGTTATGACGTGTGTAACATTAGGTGGTATGCTGGAAGCTTCTTTTTAGAAACTTCAACTGGTAGACAGTCTATAGTTGTTTGAGGAAAATTCTTGTAACTCTTAAAACAAGGAAGGATAGTAGAAAGTTTAAGAAACATAAAAAACCACCTGCTTATTTCAACTCTGAATGCAGGAGGGTGAAAATTGAAAACGTAGAATTGCATCTTACTATTTCTTTCCAATATAATGGTGTGACCTCTCTTCTTTCCAGCATCTGGATGAGAGAAAAATCTAGTATCAGAGAAGTGGAAACCTTTCACACAGGCACATTAGAATGTTAAAGTAACATTTCTGGGTCAGACTAAAGGTCTAGCTTCAATATATTGTCTCTCATAATTGTCAAGGAAGGTACTTAGGCGAGAATATAAAAACGGAGCAAACATATCTATTGCTTCTCCTAATACTTCTCCAAGCCCTCAGTCATTTATGAGCTATATGTGGTTTCTGTGTAACCATCAGTGGGTTTCTTTTCATGAACTTGTTCAGACTCCCATTGAATGAAAGTAAAGTTTTAGCAGCTATAACATGCTATGGTAGAGTTTCATAATTTAACTGTCTCTTGGATTTTTCCTGAGGTTTTTTTGCTTTCTTCTTTTTTTTTGTCTGGTTTGGTTTTTGGTTTTGTTTCTCATTATTTGTGGGGTTTGGTGGTGGTGATGGTTGTTGTGTGGTTTCTTTTTTTTTTTTTAAACCTGTCTTGCTAGTTTCATGCAATTCTTCCTAGCTCTGATACTGGAATAAAAGATGCACATGCAGCTCAGCTCTTCTCCTTTTGAACTTTGTGCAAACTTGGGGTTGTAGAAGGAAAAAAAACCTCACAACTATTTTAAAGTAATAGAATGTAAGTGAAGAGCATCTAGAAAACAAGTAGGTTGAAGGGAGAGTAACCAGTCTGCAAATTCAAATTTGACTTTTTAGGCACTTTGGTTAATTCTGCCTTGGGAGCATAATTCTTCTCAGTCCCTGAACTGCCCTTTATACATTGCAAAGTGAAGCATGGGCTACCTTTGTTCTGAATGATGTGAAAATTCTGCAAGTTTATATTCTTTAGGCCAATGTTTTGGAGTAACATTTGATGGGACTACCAAAAGCAAAGAATCAAAAAAACCCAGTGTTGATGGGCAATAAATAACAAGACTAATACATGCACAACTGCATTGCACATTTGATTGGATTTTCATCACATGTTGAGAAATAGCATCTTTAACTTGGCTTATTCCCCATAGCCAAGAAAAATGTCTGGTTTGCTCTTTAAGTGCTGTTCTTTCCAGGTGGCAAGAGACGGCAGTGCTGCTCTCTGATAAGGCAGGTCATGGTCATTGCAGGTACTGCTTTTTCACTGCTCTAAAAGACAACAAGCAGCACGGTTAAAAAAGTTATAAGAAGTTTTAAAAAGTGTGCATCTTTCAAGGTGTAAAAATGAAAAGATCTTTGGGGTGAGAAGTAGATCTTACCCATTTCCAAATCCAGAAGAGAGTATACAAATCAAAATATATTCAGATTGCCATGTAGTCAGAGGCATTGAGCAACAGATGAATCATTTTACTACAATGAAATGTTCAGTATTTATATCTCATTCTTGCTTTGAAATATTCTCTTCTGATTTAAGAATTTTAAATCTTTCCTATAGATAGCATACAATAACAATGGAGCCTATTCAATGCATAAATTTATTGTTAATGTAGTTAACTAACTCACTGTAGTCAATTTAACTCACTGGAAAAAAATGTTTTGAAACTAAAAAGTAGTCCTTAACAATACATAACAATTCAGGTTGTTTAAATAAACTCCTGTAAATTGTCACATAACTTCCTTAGCTGAACAATGGATATGAAAGAGGCTTTTCTTTGCAGTATTCTGTTAATTTGTACTGGGCAATGGATATGGGAGAATGAATGTCTTCTAGATTATATGCACTATAGATAGTGTCATTATATGCTATAGGTATTATGATTGCATTGGCATAAACTTTTAAGCTTCATAATTCTTCTATTTTCTTGCTACAGTAGAAAAAAAATATCTTGATAAGCCTAGACTTGTGCAGTACGATTATGTATGTTTACATAATAAAGTAATTGCGTAGGGAAACCTATTTGAACACTTCTAATCAATCCTAGTGTTTTGAAAGTTGTAGACTCAATAGCTGTTAAAATAAAGGTTACTTCTTTGTGGGTATATAAAAAAAAGATTGGTACATTTATTCTGTAATGAAGACTAAATGTGTCTCTTAGCTTTCAGAATATGGATGAAAATTAATTTTTATGGAAAAACCCTTGACTGTGACAGGGAGATTACATGGTTCATTCCCTTAATTACTGCTCTGTAAAAAGTGGTAGCATTCAGTAAAATTACTAAGTATGAAACATAAAGTAAGTATCTTCCAGTCTTGTTCCAATCCCACTGCCTATTTCTGTCATGGATCTCACTGCCAAAACATTTTGGAAGGCCTGAATATTAATGAGGTTAAACAGAGTTTGGCAGTGCTGGAGACTACCCCAACTGCTAGCTTTCATTTTGGTGCAGAAATTACTGTGTTAAAATCTGTGGCCTGCACTATACAGAAAGTCCTAATGCATTATCAACCGCCCAATATATTTTCAATTCCTACTGGAAAAAAATAAATAACTAACAGAGGGTTACTCTGTGTGTGTGTGTATGTTTTCTAACTCTAGGTTTGGTGCCCAATGTCACCTGAATTTTATAGAGAATATGTAGCTATCAAAACAAAGAAACGGATACTGCTGTACACCATGAACCCAAATAAATTCAGAGCCTGCCAGTTCCTGATTAAGTTTCATGAGCGACGGAATGATAAAATCATCGTATTTGCTGACAATGTGTTTGCACTGAAGGAGTATGCAATCAGACTTGGGAAGTAAGTGCTCACAACCAACGATGCTACTATTGTTTTCCTCATTCCTGGAAAATTGCCTTGTAATCTCGCAGCTTTCAGTAGTCTTTAAATATTCTTGTGATATTTTAATTTAACTCCAATTATCCTATATAAAATTGAGCTCAGGAAGGTATTTTTTTGGATGGATTTTATTGGCACTGTGACATTCTTTTCAAACAGTTCTACATTGAAATAATCTCTGTTTAGCACTTGCCTCAGAGGAGTTTTCATCTGAGATTTCTGTGAAAGACTTGGTGTTTCTCCATCCATGTTATTTTTATTAAAAGACAGCAGAAAATGAGGGACTTTTAAAAATATCACTAGAACTATTTCTTTAATGGATGGTAGCTTCCCCTATCTCTCTGAGACAAAGATTTTCAAGATCTTTTGGGACCCAGGGCATTCTGCTTCAGGTTCTCAAAAGGTCTTAACCTTGTCTAAAAAACCTAAGACAAACTTTCTGGGGATCTGTGCTGTACCAGTGCAGTGCCTAGAACTACTGGAATTGTTAATAAACGGAAGGATATTGCTCCCATAAGCTTATCAGCTACCTTAAATGACTCTAACGTGAGTGCAGTTATGGAAAGTTGAACAAATTTAATGAGTTTAATGAGGGGTTAGCATCAGTGTGTTTGTAGGGTTTGGGGAAGGATGATCAGGGAGAGTGTTTGCCAGGATCAAGCATAGAGCAGTTATTGGGGAAAATATGCATAGAATCTGGCCTTATGCTTTCTTAGACAAGCCCAAATAACGCCTTGCTTGCTGGAAGCTGTGGGGCATTTTGACTGTGTCTGAGTTCACGTCTAGGAATTTCAGCCGTACTTCTTAGCAAAACCACAAACAAGCCTTACACTTCCCAAAATTCATGGTCAGTTTTGGCTGTAGTTTAACAGCCATGTTGTGCTGGCTTACTGTGACATCAAATAGTGAGCAGAGCTAATGGTGCTGGATGAATTCCAACACCCGTGGTCTCTTTCATCATTTTTTAAATCTGTCTGGACAGAGATTAGCTGTAATGATGCCTCTGGAATGTCTCTAGCAGTGTTCAGTGCACCACAGAAAAAGAGCCTTTAGCAGGGGCGATGCTGGGAGGGGGAGCTTGCTAAGTAGCACAGCAGTTGTTAAGTGGGGTAGACACTGTAGAAGCATGGCAGGATAGTTTATTTAGATGCTTACTTTTCATGTTCTTGAGTGAATTCTCCGTTCCTCACATCATTTGTGGAGCTCCAGGTTATACGCCTGTCAATGTTAGAAAGAAAGGAGGCTTGCAGTGCTGGATAAAGGTGAGGGACTCTTTTTATTTTAACCAGAGAATTTTCTATCATAGTTTGCTATGAGCATGCTGAAAGAAAGGGAACTGTCAGTTTGGGTTGGGCAGGAATTCTCTGTGTAAGGAGGAGAGAGCAGCCCAGCAGGTACGGCGGTAGTGGCCAAGGCTGCCTGCCCGACCTGTGGCTGGCCCAGCCGGAGGAAGGGTCCCACTGCACTTCCCATGACCTGACTGAAGCACGCAGAGTGGGTGGGCTCCCGGCTGGAGGGAGAGATGGCCATCGTCTGGCTGTCTCTGCCAGCTCCTCCCTTACCCCCCCTTTCCCTTGGTACTGGCAGGGAAAGACCAGGCACGTGAGAGGAATTATTTTGGCTATAATTTTCGGGGACACAGAAATCGGCTTTGCTTAGCCAGCTTGTACTGTCATGAGTCTGTCATCCAGTATAGTATAGCTCCCATGCTGACTGTTTCTGCAAGTGTTATTAATATGTTTAAATCACTGTTTCTGAAGGAGTATACCTCTGTGGTTTTGTGAGTTATGTCAGTTAATGGGAGAGGGATCTATCTTTGCAAATCCCTCAAACCCTCAAATGTCTTTTTGCAGTAAGGAAAAGGAGTCATGTTTTTTTTAAAAGAAAAAAAAAGAAACAAAACAAAAACAACAACAACAAAAGTCAATCTAGCATTGGATGTTCTAGGTTCAGGAAGGTACTCAGATATGTGTTAATGAGTCATTGTCAAGTAGGATCTGGGGGAGTTAAAATGGAGGATTGAGAGCCAGGAATTCTAGGTTATTTCATTCTTAATAAAAAATGTGTTTGAACCTCTTCTTGGTGGCTTCAAGAAACAGAAGGCTCACAAATCTTTAGTTGCCGTTTAAATCTTCCATTTAAGTTTTGTTGGGGATTAAAATCATCACAATTTGAATATTAAATGAAATTTCAAATAAGGCTTAAAATATTACTGAATGTCACTAATTGAATAATAACAATATTGTTTCAGAGTTGACTCATTTGCCACTCATTCTTTAGCTGTGTTTTTCTAAAAATCTGGTTAAATACACTAAATAGAAGAATTAGATTAGAGGTGACTAGGATTGTTTGGTAAAAGAAAAAAAGACAATAAAGTTTGTAGTAAAGAAAGCAAGAGGAGCCAATGCACAGGAATTAGTTGGTAAGAACAGAAAACCTTAGTACTGTACACTGCGTGTCTATATTCAGCTGCCACCCATGTCTGTGCAATATTAAAAGCTAAATGAAACATTTGAGGTTGGTTCCTTGTGTTAGAAATAATGTATGGGAGTGTGAACAAAATAGAAATTGTAGAACTTGATTCCTGTTACTTGGAGATGTTTGTTAGTGAGCATTTGGAAAAGCAGTGCAACAGATGAATAAGTGGCTATGCACTCCTGCATGCCTCTCATTTTTTATGTGGGCTTTGCTGTTTCTAGCTTCTTTTTTTTTAAATCTGCTTAGGTAGGAAGAAACAGCCTGACTCCAGAGAGAATCTTGGAAAATTCGTAGTAGCCCAAGTTATTCATGAAGTCTGTGGGTGACTGAGAGTTTGTGCGAGCCTTCTGGATTGAGATATTAAATTTCCAGGTGATTTATTGTCAATTGTTAGAAACTTTAGGTGAAATGCCACTGTGAGCTGCTTGTGGCCGTGGAATGTTTGGGACCTTGTTCTCATTTCAGTAAGTCCAGAAGGTATTAGGAGGGGCAAGAGGTTAGCTTCAAAAGCAGAAATAATTTTCCCAGAACAACATCCAGCAGCTAGCTTGTGACACTCAGCATATCATTGACGGAGAAGCCTGGATTTTCAAGTGTTTATATAGGAAGCAAAGGTTGCAGCTGTCAATGTGCTAACTCAGTAGATTTGAGGGAAAAAAAATCTCTTATTTTAACAGCTGCCTTCAGTCTTTCATGTAGGCTTAGCAAATATATTCAGTCTGTTGATCTACAGCTTCATTGATGCACATAATTGCAAAACATTTATAACTGTCAGAATTTATTTCTGGCAGACTGGGTTGCTGCAGAGGGTTCCACAAACAACTGAGCGGCTGCCATAAAGAGCCAAACAAGCTAAAAGTAAACTGTAAGCTCTGCCAAAATCTGTTTTGTTTTTATATCAGTTCAAATGTCTACTGCACTCCCTGGCATGGTATCTTAGTACCTCTTAAGAAGTGATTGAGAAATCTTGAATTGATTTAATTTGCATATGTTCTGTTCTTTTCAGACCTTATATATATGGTCCTACTGCACAAGGAGAAAGAATGCAAATTCTACAAAACTTCAAGCACAATCCAAAAATCAACACTATTTTCATTTCCAAGGTAAGTGAGGACATTCAGTGTGTCATTGTGTCAGTGTGTCAACAAGAGGGTCTTCAAGTACATCAGTAACAAAAGGAAGAGCAGAAAAAATGTGGGCCCGCTGCTGAACGAGGTGGGTGCCCTGGTGATGAAGGATATAGAGAAGACAGAGTTATTGAATGCCTTCTTTGCTTCAGTCTTTACTGCTAAGGCAGACCCTCAGGAATCCCACACCCTGGAGGTAAGGGAGGAAGCCTGGAGAAGGGAAGACTTTCCCTTGGTCGAAGAGGATCAGGTTAGAGATCATTTAAGCAAACTGGACACCCACAAATCCGTGGGCCCCAATGGGATGCACCATAAATGCTGAGGGAGCTGGCAGATGTTATTGCTGAGCCACTCTCCATTGTCTTTGAAAGGTCATGGAGAACAGGAGAGGTGACTGAGGACTGGACGAAAGCCAGTGTCACTCCGGTCTTCAAAAAGGGCAAGAAGGAGGACCCGACCCAGGGAACTATAGGCCAGTCAGCCTTACCTCCATCTCTGGAAAAGCGATGGAACAGCTGATTCTAGATGTCATCTCTGGGCATGTAGAGGACAACAGTAGTATTAGAAATAGTCAGCATGGATTCACTAAGGGGAAATGATGCTTGACCAATCTGATAGCCTTCTGTGATGGCATGACTGGCTGGGTAGATGAAGGGAGAGCAGTGGATGTTGCCTACCTTGACTTTAGCAGGGTTTTTGACACTGTCTCCCATAACATCC